CCTCCATACACGTGTATGGAGGGATGGCATTCAAGCTTAGCTTCTCCAAGAAGCTTTTGCTTTCCTCTTCTAGAAGAGGGAGGCTCCTCCTCCCTCCTCCAGGTTCAGAATTTTGCCCCAAGAGAGTTACATATAGCTTTGTCTCTATATCACTCTTGTTCTTTATTTTTGTGTTCAAAAGTGTAGATTTGTCTTACTTTAACACACAAACACACACACTCAAACACCATCCTTTTGCTACTGAGGTGCTTAGGGGCTGATTTTGGTGTTCTTGGGTTGCCTTGAGCTTGAAAAACCTACTGGAGTTGTAGTTATAAAGAGGGTCTTCAAGGGTGAGCTTTTGACCTTTAAATCCCCCTTTCTTGCTTTAGCTTTTAGCCTATCTTGCATGCTGTTTTAAGCTTAGCTCATAACTGATAAAAGTTCTATTTTTGCATGCTTAAAAAGGTTGTTTAAGATCACTTTTGTGTTTGGGGTTGTTTACCCCCTCTTAGGCCTTGTTTGGCCTTGTTTTTGAGCCTTTTTTGTGAGCTTCGGGACCACCTAGTATTGGCCTTCTCACCACTGAAATCCTTTGGTGGGGATGGTGTTTTAAGGTCCTAAGAAGGAGAGGGTCATCCCCTCTCCTTGTGTCTTCTTTACATGCCTTAATATGCCTCATGTTTGAGCATCTTTACTAAGCTTGTGTTAGCTTGTTCTTAGCATGTATTTGTGGTTATTTTGCTGAGGCATACCACTGTTTTTACTTGTCTTGGTCACTCCATGCATGGTTAATACACTTGTAGTATAAATCACACAAACTAGCTTTGTATGCGTTATGAAGTAGCATGTCATTCTAGCTTGTTTTCTTTCCATTTCAGCATGTTTTTGGTGATGTTTTGCCATGTCATGACTCTGTTTTGGTTTGGTTTGGTTAGCCTTTGCATGCTCCTTGCACTTGTACTGCAATCCCATGAAATAGCCTAACATGCATCATGTTGTAACATGTCATTCTAGCATGCTTTTGGCTTAACTTCATGAAGTTTTGTCCATGTTTTAACATGCTTAAGCTCTGATTTTAGTTGTTTTGGCCATGCATGACTTGCTTTGTATAGCTATAGTCCAATCTAGCTTGTTAGCTTTGTATACCAAGTCCACTAGCATGCTCTACTTGGCTTATTTGAATGATTTGACATAACTTGTTATGTGATTTCAGTCCATGTTTCATGGCCATGCACTTGCATTTATCACTCATTGAATGCGTTGGAGGGTTTCCCCCTTTATGTCTTAACAAGAACCATCACGTATGCCTTCATGCCTTTGCTTGCGAGCCACCATTTCAGTGTTTATTTGGGGTTATTATGCCATGATATAACTCTGATTTTTATTGCTTAAGTCATTCCATGCTTGGTCCTAATAGGTGTAGTGTAACCCACCTTATTTGCCTTGCATTCACCATGTTTCAAGCCCTTCATGCTAGCATATTTTGGCCTACTTCCATACATGTTTTAGACTCATTTTAACATGTTCTAGGACTTTTTTGGGTTTCCTTGGTCACATGCTTCATGTTTTGTATACTTGTAGTACAAATGCTCTTGCTTGCCTCAAGCTTTGAGCACCATCGCATGCTTCATTTGTGTTGTGTACATGATTTGGCATCACTTAACATGACATTTCAGCGCTTATAGTATGCTTATGTTCCCACTTCATTCATGCTTTAAATGCTTTTAAGGGTTATGCATTATGGCCTTGTTATGGCCTTAGCTCGTATGCCTGCATGCCTAGGCCTTCGAGCCCTCATCTCAGCATGTTTTGGTCCTTGTTGTGACCTACTTGAGCTCTGTCCATGCTTAGTTCATGCATTTGTGCCATGTATCGCATGCCTCCTTTGTGTTGCTCTTTGCTAGCTTTCATGCCTTAGGACCCTAGCATGCTTTACTTATGTTGTTTGAATGATTTGGCAACATTTCTTGCTTCATTTCAGTGCACTTAATGTTGTTACACTTCCACTCCTATCACTCATTGAGCACTTTTGAGAGTTGTGCTCTTTGGCCTCTTTGATGGCCAATGCATTGTGCATGCATGCCTTGCTTTATGTGCCTTCATTTCATCACCAATGGTCACTAATTCGGGCATGACTGAGGTCTACCCCTTTTAGTTTAAGTCCATTGAACATGCCATGTATATTGCATTGAGTATGCGACATTGTTCATCGCATTATGTATGCCTTGTACTTTGCATTGTGAATGCTTAGTTCACATCATTGCATTGTGCATGCTAGTTGATATTTGCATTGTGTGTGCATGTCCCTAACATTGCTAATTTGTCCTTCTAGCATTGCATTGTGCATGCACGCATTAGCATTGTCTGCATGCTATTAGCTTTGTTAAGTTAATCATGTCACATTGCATTGAGTATGCCATATAGTTTATTCGCATTGTGTATGCCATGCTTTCATACATCGTGTTTGGAATAGGCATTAGTCCAAACACGGAAACGAGGGACGTTTCATACTTAAAGTGATGAAACGTGCCTTAATTCCCGGTCGCCGACGCTCTTGATCATACATGATAGAGTTTTAGGCCTTATGTGTTTACTTGTGCATTCATTTTCATATTGAATTGTGCAACTTCGCCTCTCGGCCATCATGCATTGAAATGCACGATTAGTGGCCCGAGGGTCGAGAACTACACTCCCTTGAGTTCATGACATGATAGGGAGGGTGGTTGTGCACACATATCTTGCAAATACATTGCCATGCCCTTTCTTGCTCTTTGTTGCAGAAAACTGGAGTCTGGCAGCAACAACTGGTCGGCCAGCCAGAAAAAGTAGCTGGCCGACCACTTTTCTTGGTTTTCAACAACAAAAAGTGGTCGGCAAGGGTCTGGAGAGACCAAAAGTGGTCGGCTACCCTCCCACTGGATTACCAAGATGGAGTTTCATCTTTCTGGAGCTTGGTGCAAGTTTCTGAGGACAAATGAAAGCAGAGGCAAATCGGGGCATCGCATTGGATTTCCAAACGAGGCGACCGAGCATGCATCCAGTCTTCTCCCTCCGAGAACCTCCTGCTTTTATTGCTTTCCTTAGCTACCATGCTTAGATAGCTAGCTTTTGCTTTGGTTTGTACCCTTTAATTAGTTAATGCATTAGCTATTTAATTTGTTTTGTAATAATTAGTTAACTAGGATTAATTAATTAATTTGTTGTGTAATAATTAGTTTAATTAGCTTAGATTAGCTAGTTAGCTCGTTATTCGGTCTCTCCCTCGAGAGGACCAATTGTTGTAATAAGCGTGCGTGTGTGTGATGCATGTCTTCCAATCCCCATTTCTTTCTCCCTTTTACTTAACCGCTTACGATGGTTAGTTTTAGGGCATATTTCATTTAGCATACCTTATGCTTGCATGCGTGCATCTATTCATCTGTATTGCATGCACCGGGCTCGGCGCATTATACTAACTGCATCGTATTTCAATACCTACATATACCAAGTTTCATTTCATATGACATTCTTAGGATAGCCGAGCCTATCTTAATTGCATTTTTGCATGTGTTGCATTAGCCATTTTAACATGAACTAGGATCATGCATTGATTTCTAGCTAGTTCTTTGTTTTAGCTCGGAGTACATTGTGAGTGTTTACGCTTTAGCATACTGCATGTGTGTTAATGTTGCCATGAAAGCATGCTTTCCATGAGGCTAACTGCTTATGTGCTATAACTGCCTGAATGCTTGTGGGTGAAGGTTAGATTAGTTGAATTGGGACAATTCATTGAAATCCGCATTTTAGCCTACTTACGAGTAGCAAACTTTAAACCATTTTCCAAACAAACGGATATGTGATGCTTGGTTCCAAATTAGGCGATCTAGTCTATACTTGTTTTGCTGTGCATATCACATAGTAATTCTAGCTAATTAACCGGAATAAGAGCACATGTGTTTTCAAAAACAAGATATCATGCTTAGAACAGGCCGGTCTTTGATCGGGCGAGCGGGGGTGCTCATAGATGACCTTCCCCAATCGTACCCAAGTTCCCGAGCCGAGGCAACTTTGGTGATGACGGATATGTGGTCTTAGGTACGAGTCAGGGTTTCCTAAATTCCCCCCAAAATAAAATATTTAGGTGGCGACTCTGTATCTGGCAAAGCAGTCCATGATTGACACTTCCTTACAAAAATCAGTTTTCCAAAATGATTTGTCAGATTTGGACTCTTTGGTGATTTATCAATCTCACATCGCACATTGTGAGATTAGATTAAGAACTGTGACATTTGAGTCCGAACTGTAGCATTGAAGCCCAAGGGCGCGTCTACAGTTTCTGGTGACTCTGCTAGGGACTTAGAGAACTTGACTCGAACTCATGATATCGTGTTTTGTTCACACGTATGTGTTTCGTTGCATTGCATTTGCATTGATGCGCCTAGGACACCGTGTTTGCCGTATGCTATTCTTGAATGGTTTTCCAGAGGCTCGCTTTGAGAAGCGTGCCATAAGGCTGACCGGTTGCGGGCTCTGCCACGACGGGAACACAAACCTCAGTTTTTATCGGGGCACCCTTTTTGACCATTCGACCTAGTGCATATTCGGAATCCATAGTGACTATTCCAAACTAGGACAGGTTGCTTACCCGATTATAGGTTGTTTGAAACCGCTATGTGCGTAGTGAAACCCTAGCTCCTGACAAAATAGGACAGGGAAACCTTACCCCAACAGAGGGGTGTTTTGGCTCTCATTTGCTTGCTATGTGCTATCAGAGTGTGTCTCTACAGGGTTGCACGTATCAGTTTGCAAGTCTGGGTACACTACTAGAAATATGACTTTTTGCGTCTATTTTTTTGCAACTGATTATTTAACGGTCGCAAAAAATCATTTTTAGACATCAAACATCTCATTTTCCTGACCCAATCGTGTTCTTAAAAAAATAAAAATAAATAAAAATCGGTAAAACTTGACTCTCTTTCTCTCCCTCTCAATCCCCCCCTTTTTCTTTTCTTATTTCCCAAATCTGGGCTCTTTCTTTCTCTCCCTCTCAAAATCTGTCTCTCGCTCGACTTTTGCTCGATTCTCACTGCCTCTCTTGCTCGAATTTGTCGCTCGAATCTCTCGCTCAAATCTGTCGATCGATTCAACTTTCTCAAGTCCACTACTGTTGAAGATTTCATAATCGGTAAGCCTAAACACATCTTCATCGATTCAACTTTCTCTGTAATGATCCGAGAAATCAAGTGTGCTCTGAATTGCTCTCTCTCTCTTGTCTCAGTTTCTTTGTGAGATCAGAGAAATCTCTTCGAAGCATTCACTTCTTGTTCATCTTCACCCTTTTTTCATTAACTTGTTGCTTATCCACTAATCTCACTGCAATCTTCTCGATTGATCAGGTTGTTGTACAGAAAGTGAAGCAATCGGAGATAACCGAGCAAGACTCACTTCTACTGGTACAGTTCAGCTTTTGATTTTCATTTACAAATGATCATAGCAACCTATATATAAATTTCACTATCTACTTATCTTCATTTTTGTGGATCGAATTCTGAAATTATAATTTGAACTTACGGTTTGCTCATATTCAGAATTAGATCATTGCTTTGAATAAGTCATAGTATGCTGAATCTGGATTCTGTTTTGTTCAGTAATTTATCAGTGAATTTTACTATAACTCAAATCTGAATTATGATCCAGAGAGTTTGAATTTGAAATGATTTTTTTCTACATTTAAAATTAATTTCTCTAGTGTTGCAACCTAGATTTGAATTTCATTGTCTGCTTGTATTCATTGTTTGTGGATCAAATTCTGGAATTCTAATTTGAATTTATGGTTTTTTCACATTCAGAATCAGATCATTGCCTCAACATTGTTCAGCAGTTTTTTGTTGTTGAAAAATTTGTGATCTACAAAGGTCAGATCTGTTCCCATCTGTGCTTTTTTTTTTTTAACTAAAAAAAATTCAACTGATATACAAGTATATACAAAAAATCTATTTTTTTACAACTGATATTTAAAAAAATTCAAGACTCTGTCAATTGATTTTTCATATTTCCCATACCACTACACTGCTACCTATACCAATTCACCTCCTGATACTGCTAATTAAAATCTTGCTGATCACACCAAACTAGCTTAATTAATGGGTTGGTTTATCACTGAAGCCAGAGCATGCTGATGCTAATGAATCAAATAAAAAAAATTGAATTTGTGAACTATCTCCTGCCTAGCTCTCAACTGATGCATAGCCATTATGTTCTTTTTGTGTGTATAGTTTTTCAAGGTACCAAACTAGTTAGCAACATGATAGATCAACATGCTCCTGCTATGTATTAAAACAAGCTACTGTCACGGATCTCTTGCGATGAATCTAAATAATAAAGTCATTTTAGAATATGTGATTTTTTTAAAAGAATGTAGTATTTTGATGTCATTTTTTACTAGAGTTTTTTACTCGAGCCGTTGGATACAACAATGTTACGTACCTATGAAATTTGCCTAGAAAAATACCCAGAATTTGCAATCTAAAAATAAGATTCATTTGTTTCTGCCCCCACAACAACTTCAAATCTATACTGTAGATTTCAAATTTGAGGCAATTTTTGGGGTAGATAGCATTTTTGGCGTTGGATTATGTATTCTACTTGCTTGTTTTACTGTGATAAAAAAGCACAGTAACATCATTGCAGAAAAATGATGACAGAAGATCCTTTATCTTGAGAGAGAGAGAGAGAGAATGAGTTTGACAATCTAAAAACATTGTGATTACAATCAAATTGAATGATGGAAATGATGATCAAAGATGGGTTATGCTTTGCAAGTTAGAGATATAAGCAAAAGTAGTAGTTGAGTTACCTCAATAGTGGCCATTGGAAATGCAAATGAAAGCAGAGAGAGAGAGAGAGAGAGAGAGAGAGAGAGAGAGAGAGAGAATCTGAAAGCAAGAATGGAAGAGTAGAGGCTGTGAGTGAGCTTTGATCCAATGTGAGAGCTATAAATAGGTCTACAATAGAGGAGGAATTTTTTTCTATATAATGAGGATGTTTGGTTGTGGGATGGTATACTCTTGTTTTGATTTTGAAGAATTTGTAAACTAATATTGACTGAAATAATATATTAAAACATAAGTGATTACTTTGCAATAAAAACTGGAAATACATTTATAGAGCAGCTCCTACTCTCTATTTATTCATGATGTGCAATTTTATAAATTTTACTAAAAGTTTTCATGGGCCATTGGTTTTATTTGGTATACTTTTTGAACTATAATATGCACTTGTCATTATGATACTTTGCAAACTCATTCTTTTTATTGATGTGTACAAAAACAGTTAAAGATATAGAAAGATAAACAAGAATTGGATTGATTTTCCAAATCGGAAGTTAGTTGATTACGTGAATGGGATTGATAACTTCTTGAGATTTGCATACAATAATAGAGATGAAAGTTCATCGATTAGTTGTCCGTGTCGATTTTGTAGTAATCAATACAATTTTTCACGAGAGGTTGTAAGGGAGCATCTTATTTCCAATGGGTTCGTAAAAAAGTACAAAAATTGAATTCATTATGGGGAATCCTATGTCCAATTACATGGTAACCAAGAAAACCAAACATTAATGGCGGATTCAGTGACTAGAGATGATGTGGCTGGGATGGTACAAGAGGCCCTGGGAATTCCACATATGGGTATTAAGAATGATGAACCAACTGCAAGTGATCCAGCCCAAGCAGGGGCAAGTGATCCAAGCCATGTAGAGGAAGATGACCCGGTTCGGATAGGGGCAAATGACGAAACTTTGAAATATTTTAAACTTTTGGAAGATGCACAAACTGATCTATACCCGGGGCGTCACAAATTTACTTCACTATCATTTATTGTTCGAATTTTGCATATGAAGGTGCTCAATCAATGGACTGACAAGTCCGTTGACATGTGTAGACACCCCATTTTTGACCGTCCTCAAGACTTGGACGTCACCGTTTGAACACTCGGTGATTATCCATGTTTGTGTTCGTTTGGAGTTCCCGGAGGTCTCGGCTCGCGCGCCTTACCTCAGGATCTCCGAACTCGACCGTTTAGTGTCTGGTTTCATACCAAACACTTGTGTATTGCCTTTGAGAGGCAGGGTAGGGCTTGTAGACTATCCCCACCCACCACCGGCAGTGGCTAGAGGCCGCCGGCTGGTTTTTGCTGCCACCGGCAATGTATATTGCCGGCCGGCACTATTTGTTGCCGGTCAGCACTATTTTGTGCCGGTCGGCACTCTTTTTGGCCAAGATGGCATTTTTGGCCGGCCGATTGCTGTTCATCTGCTTTTGCAGATATTTTTAGACTGCTGTCTTGCTTTTGCTCCCCTCCATACACGTGTATGGAGGGATCTCCCTCTTATGAAGCTTGTCTTGTAAGCTTTACAAGACAAGAAGTGCCATATAGAGAGAGAGAGGTCTCTTGGCTAAAAAGGTTGGAGATTTTAGACATTTTAGGGAGAGGAAAACACAGACCAAGCTCTGGTTTTCTAGGGTTAGGGTTAGATACACACTCTATCTCTCTTTCTCTCTCTTTTGTGCTCTTGTGTGTGTTTTAGTCCATACTATTGCACACAAGCACCTAGTGTTTCACCTTCCTCTTGAAGCTGAGGTTCTAAGGGGTTTGTTTTGAAGTCTTGGTGTTGGATTCAAGCTAAAGGAGGCCATTGCAGCACCATTTGTGAAGGGGTCATCAAGGGTGAGAATCTAGTCCCATTTTCTCCCATTTTTGCATTGATTTTATACCTATCTTAGAGCTGTTTTTGTGCTTATTGTATAACATAAAAAAGTTCTATTTTTAGGCCCTCTTTATTGTTTATTAAGAGTGTTTTGTTGTTTGAGGGTAGTTGACCACCCTTAGGCCCCAAAAGGCCTCATTTTGAGCAATTTTGTGCTAGCTCCGGGATTTTGGTGTTGGGGCCTCTTCACCACTGAAATCTTGAGGGATTTAAGTGGTGAAGATGATGCCTTGAAGTCCCAAGAAGGAGAGGGCCACCCCCTCTCCTTGTTGTCCTTGAAAAGGGCATATTTTGGTCTCTAAAGAGAGCCTGTGCTTGAGTGTGTGTTGAGCATGTTTGGGCTGTTTTTCATGCTTATATATCCATAATATAACATGATTTTAAGTTGGTTTTGGTACTCCATGCATGCTTAGCATAGTTGCCTTGTAATGCTTTGTTTCTGCCTTAACATGTCTTAGGTTGTTAGCCTTTGTTGGAGCATGTTTCAGGCTTAGTCTTGTGAAGATTTTGTGCATGTTTTGCCATGTTCTAGGTCTGTCCTAGGTTGCTTGGGTCGAATTTGGCATGCATCATATAGCTCCTTTATATTTGGGCTTGTTGGCCTTGAGCATGTGCATGTGTAGCATGCCATCTTTGCATTGTTTTGGTAATTTGGGATCATCCTACATGCCATTTCAGTCCCATTTCCATGCTTGTTTGATAGCCTTGCATGCCTCTTTAATGCTTTGGAAGTATGTGTTGCATGCTCCATGTTTTGGTGTTTGTGCATGCCTTTGTTTTTGAGCCACTTAGATGCCATCTAAGTAGTCCTTTAGCCTTGTTTTAACATGCTAAAAACCTATTTTTAGTTGCTTAATGCATGTCATGTTTGTTGTGATAAACGTGCTTCAAAGCTTCATGACTTGCTTCAAGTACTCGGACCATGCTCGCATGCATTTGCTTGTCTTGTTTAACTTGGTTTGGCACCATTTTATAGCATGATTCTAGAGTTTATAATGCATGCTAATTAGTCCATGATTCCCCCTTTCAAATGTGTTTGAGAGTTGTTCAAATTGTGCCTAAGTGTTGGCCTTCAATTATGTGCATGTGTGTATGTATTTGGTCCCTCATGATTGGGCATTTTGGCTACTGTTTTAGGCCTATTTTAGAGTTGCCTAATTCATGCATAAGTCCATCTTTACATCCATTTGCATGCCCCTATGTTTGCTTGTATGCTTGTATAAGTTAGTCGCCATGCCATGTTGCATCCTTAGCTTGCATGCTTAGGTTGCATTGCATCTTGCATGCATGCCTTGTTCCTTGACTTGATGATAGGAATTGGGCCTTGTTTGGTTTGATTTGGTTTGCATGCATTTGAAATCAAAGTTGCATACTTGGTTCTTTGGGCCATCATGCATGGAAATGCGTGATTGGTGGTCCGAGAACCGAGGCACATGTCCCTTTGAGTCATTACAATGATAAGAGACATGGTTGGTGCATATATGCCTTGAAATGTGCTGCCATGCTTTGCCTTGTCCTCTGTTGCTGTCATTTGCAGATTCTACAGGAACACTCTGCCGACCGGCAGTGTAAGGTGCCGACCGGCAGTGTAAGGTGCCGACCGGCAATCATTCCTCTGCCGACAGCTTCATTTTGTGCTGATGGCCATACACCACTGCCGGTGGTAATTCCATCTAGCCGGTGGTGATCCTCTCTGTCCAAGGGAGCAGCCCTGAGGTTTTGACAACCTCCAGAGGAGTGAAGGAAGGAAAACAGAGGCAGCCCATGTATGGCGACGCGTTTCCCGAGGCAGTTTATCTGCTTTTCTTAATTTATTTAATTTGTTAATTAAATTAATTAATTTGTAATATTTATTCGGTCCCTCCGAGTGAGGGCAAATCTGTAATAAGTGTGGGTGAGTGGTGTGTATGTCTTCTAATCCGCACTTCTTTCTTCCCTTTTATTTACCTGCTTTAATGGTTAGTATTAGGGCACGTTTAAAGTTAGCATACTTTATGCTATGCATGCGTGCATCCATGCATTTGTATTACATGCATTAGGCTCGGTACATCATGCTAACTGCATTTGTACTTCAAATTCAAAACTGAATATGTGATAGTTGTGCATTTTCACATAACATGTTTAGGATTAGCCGAGTCTATCTAATTGCATCCTGTATGTGTTGCATTAGGCAATTCAACATGAACTAGGACACGCATGTTTGCTAACTAGTTTACTGTTTTGGCACGGAGTACGATGTAAGTATTTTCGCTTTAGCATCTCGCATGCGTGTGAATGTTAACATGACAGTATGCCTGCCATGCGGCTAAGTGCTTATGTGTTAAAACTGTTTTGAATGCCTGTGGGTGAAGGTTGGATTGCTTGAGTTGGAAAAACTCATTGAAATCCGCATTTTAGCCTACTTGCGAGTAGCAAATCTTAAAGCATTTTCAAAACGAACGGATATGCAATGTTCCTTTCCAAATTAGGCAATCTAGTCTATACTTGTTTGCTGCGCGCATAACATAGTAATTCTAGGCTAATAAATGGAATAAGAACACATAAACGTTTTCAAAATCGGATATCACGGTTAGTAGAGGCCGGTCTCCGGACCGGGCGAAAGGGGGTGCTCATAGCTGACCTTCCTCGATCGTACCCAAGCTCCCGAGCCGAGACAACTCCGGTGATGACGGACATGTGGCCTTCGGCACCGAGTCAGGGTTTCCTAAATTTCCCTATTTTAAAATATTTAGGTGGCGACTCTGTATCTGGCAAAGCAGTCCATGTTTGGCACTACTTTTTCAAAAAAAATCTGTTTTCTCAAACGATTTGCCAGATTTGGACTCTTTGGTTCAGATTTAGAACCGTGACACAAATCGAGTCCGAACTGTAGTAGCATAAGGCCCCCTCCGCGGGCGCGTCTACAACATGTTACTTGAACTTTTGAATAAGGCTTTTCCTATGAGCATGAAACTTCCAAGTTCATATTATCAAGCTCAGAAGGTTACTACAGATTTGGGTTTCACATATGAGACCTTTGATGCTTGCCCCAATAGTTGTATGTTGTTTAGAAAAGAGGATACAAAGCTTGATAAATGTGTTATATGCAGTTGTTCTAGATGGAAACAAAATGGTGGTGTTGGAAATGATGAAAGGGAATCTGGTAAACGGGTAGCAGCAAAACAGATGAGGTATTTCCCTTTGAAGCCAAGGTTGCAGAGATTGTTTATGTCATCGAAAACAGCAAAGCTCATTAGATGGCATGCGGAAGAACAGGTTGATGATGGTGTGTTAAGGCATCCTGCTGACTCCCTCGCATGGAAGGACTTTGATCGGCGAAACACTTGTTTTGCTTGTAATAGTCGTAATGTACGTCTTGGGTTAGCTACAGATGGATTCAACCCATTTAGATCAATGAACATAGTTCATAGCACTTGGCCAATTGTGTTGATTCCGTATAATTTACCACCATGGATGTGCATGAAGCAACCAAATCTGATTTTGTCTGTGCTGATTGATGGGCCAAAAGGACCTGGTGATAAGATCGATGTGTATTTGCAACCATTGATTGAGGAGTTGAAGGAATTATGGGATGAAGGTGAACAAACATTTGATGCATCAACCAATGAAATGTTTCAATTGCATGCAGCTTTGTTATGGACAATCAGTGACTTTCCTTCCTATGCCAACTTATCAAGATGGAGTACGAAAGGTGAATATGTTTGTCCTTGCTGCAATGTGAAAACTCAATCATATTGGTTGAAGCATGGTAGGAAGTATTCATACATGAGTCATCGTCGTTTCTTACCAGTTAATCATAAATTTCGAAAGGATAAAGTATCATTTGATGGTAGTCGAGAATGGAGACTAAAACCTCAAATTTTATCTGGATTTGAGATGTTGCATCAGTTGGAATCAGAAGGTGTCCTTAGTCAGTACAAGAGGAATGACCTTAAGGAAATGTTCAGGAGACAAGAAGAGAGGGAAAATAACGGAAGAAAAAGCCATAATTGGAAGAAAAAAAAGTATATTCTATGAATTGCCGTATTGGGAGCACAACTTAATAAGACACAATCTCGATGTGATGCACATAGAAAAAAATGTCAGTGATAATATATTGTGGACAATACTAGGAGTTGGAGGAAAATCCAAAGATAATGTGAATGCTCGACGCGATTTACAAGAAATGAATATTAGAAAACCATTGCACTTGCAGTCAAGAGGGTTCAATAAAGTTTATGTACCTCCTACACAATTCACAATGATTAATGATGAGAAAGAGATGTTTCTCAAAGTACTCAAGGAAGTAAGAGTACCAGACGGTTATGCATCTAATATCTCGCGACATGTGCGCTTACAAGATAGAAGTATTTGGGGTCTTAAGAGCCATGATAGTCATATTTTGATGCAACAACTTATTCCTTTAGCTATACGGAGGTCCTTGCCTAAGAATGTGATTGAACCATTGATTGAGTTGAGCACTTTTTTTAGACAATTGTGCTCCAATGTGAATCGTACAAGTGATTTGGAATATGTTTAGGATCGTATCACAATAACTCTTTGTCATCTTGAAAATTTTTTTCCACCATCTTTCTTTGACATAATGGAACACTTGCCTATACATCTTGCTGATGAAGTTTTGATTGCTGGAGCAATACAGTTCGATGGATGTACCCGATTGAAAGGCTTCTTCTTACATTGAAACGATATGTGCGTAATCGAGCTCATCCGGAGGGCTCAATGGCTAAGGGATATTTGATGGAAGAATGCATGAACTTAAGTGTGATTGGGTTGATAACACTAGGGGGAAAATGGAAGACGCATTCAAATTCACATCAGTCAACTTCAATTGTTTGTTGTACCCAACCGATCGTGTTAGCAATGAACCTTTTATATTATCATCCCAACCCGAGCAAGTTTGGTATGTTCCTGATCCCTTGGAACCAGATTGGCAAGTTGTGATAAAGATGTCTCAAAGAGGTCTTTTTGATATGAATTCTAATGATGACCCTCAAGTTAAACCCTATATGACTCAACATTTGGAAGACAATGCTATGCTTTGTGATGAAGAAATTGGTTGGGTGAGAGAAGGAATAGAAGGAGCAACAATTGATGTTAATGAAGAGTGTTGAACTTCATTTGTGATTGTTGATGAAAAGTTTATATATTGTTAAAATGTCTCAATTCTTAATTGTTGAATTTGTGAGAAATTTATATATGTTTATGTGTTGTTTTATTATCAAGTGTAGAGTTTCATAAAGATTTTCTTTCTTTTTATAATGAATGCTTACTTGCTGTGGTGGTTGTTTTTTATTCAATTACAATGTCGGTTCTGATAGTTACGAGCTTAGGAGACATCGTTGTGGACTTGCATAGGGATCTCTGTTCTTTGAAATGGCCAATGCAATTGAGAGGGAAATCACCACCTTGCAATTGAAAGTATGTTAAAGAGTTTATACGTAATGTTTATGTTGCAAGTTTTTAGTGTTTGATCTAATTATAAATTATTTGTTGATATAGGAAAAGAAGCTTGTTACGGAGATAAAGAGAACTGCTAAAACAGGAAATGAGGTACATTTTGGGACGTATTTCTCTTTCTTGTTTTTATATTCAGATTTATCTTCTTATTTTTATTTGTATCTGCATTCTGCAGGCAGCAACTAAAATTTCAGTATGTCAGCTAATCAAGCTTAGGCAACAAATAACAAAATTACAGGCTTGCTTACAGCAAATGTCCCCAGCTAAACAGACTGAAGAGGAAACTGAAGAGCTGACCAACCAAGTTCATTGTTTAAATTTTTCTTGTTCTTCTATTGGTTTATGTTTTTCTTGTTCTTCTATTGGTTTATTTATTTATTTACTTGACATGTCCTAGATGAAATTGGAGTTGATGTTGCCTCTCTAGTCAGTATTCGCAGGAGTTTTTTTTATGAATTTATCTTGTTAGTTGATGCTATTTTTCATGTATTAAATTGGTTTTGAATTTGACTTGCACTCTTGACAGTTATCAGTATCGCCCAAAGGAAGAATTGTTGGAAAGATGACCGAGGATGCTAATAGGTATCTTGTGTTATATTATAAGTAAATTGATATCCATATTTCTTGTGTATTAACTTTTTCATATTTCTTTCATTTTAGCATGAAGCGAAAGAGGAAGACCTTTAAGGTCCCTTGCACTATAGATGAGGCTGTACGTGTGCGGGCAAGTCCTTCGCTACCTCGCACTATCGATGGAGCATCTTCTCCATATTTTCGAGGTAAACTTTACTTCTAAAGTTCTATTTGTTCTGAAACTAGTTTGTATCATTTGTTTATATTTATATCTTGTGTTATATTATTAGTAAATTGATATCCATATTTCTTGTGTATTAACCTTTTCATATTTCTTTCATTTTAGAGGGAAGCGAAAGAGGAAGACCTTTAAAGCCCCTTGCATTATGGATGAGGCTTTACGTGTGCGGGCAAGTCCCTCGGTACCTTGCACTATTGATGGAGCATCTTCTCCATGTGTTTGGAGGTAAACTTTACTTCTAAAGTTCTATTTGTTCTGAAACTAGTTTGTATCATTTGTTTATATTTATATCTTGTGTTATATTATTAGTAAATTGATATCCATATTTCTTGTGTGTTAACCTTTTCATATTTCTTTCATTTTAGAGGGAAGCGAAAGAGGAAGACCTTTAAAGCCCCTTGCATTATGGATGAGGCTTTACGTGTGCGGGCAAGTCCCTCGCTACCTTGCACTATTGATGGAGCATCTTCTCCATATGTTTCGAGGTAAACTTTACTGATGAAGTTCTATTTGTTTTGAAACTGATTTGTATTAGTTGTTTATATTTATATCTTGTGTTATATTATTAGTAAATTGATATCCATATTTCTTGTGTGTTAACCTTTTCATATTTCTTTCATTTTAGGATGAAGCGAAAGAGGAAGGCCTTTAAGGCCCCTTGCACTATAGATGAGGCTGTACGTGTGCGGGCAAGTCCTTCACTACCTCGCACTATGGATGGACCATCTTCTTCATCTGTTTCATCTCCACATACAATATCAACTACCTTAACACGACGAGGTCGAGGATTCGCTCGAGGGATAAAGGAATGGGGTACAGGCACTAAGATCCAAGTAAAATTTGATGATAAGTTTCAGCCGGTGGAGGATGATGGCAAAAAGTTGAAGGGACAATTGGGGTTGATCATGCGCAGCGGGCATAGAGTCCCACTTACATATCTCAGTTGGAATGTGATGCATGTTGATATAAAGGAGAATATTTGGCAGGAGGTGAAGGTATATAGTTTTCCCTTTTGCTAATTACGGTTAGGGTTTATGCTTAAATTTTTGAATTTTTCCAAGTTATTAGTTATTAGTTATTTGATTTCTGATTTCTTGTTAATTGTGTTTAGTTATTAGTTATTAGCTTCTTGTGCATTTGTGTATGCTCTATAATTATGAGGATGAAATTGGTTTTCAATTTGTGCTTTGTAGGACAACTTGGTATACTGTCCAGATGAATTCAAGGAGGTTTGTATGCGACTTTGTAGGACATCGTGGAAAGATCATAAAAGCAAGACAAAGTCTAAGTATTGGGTTCCATTCAAGAATGATCCGGACATTGCTTCTAGAGTACCTAGTAACATAGTGCCAACCTAGTGGAGGAAACTTGTGCAATATTGGGCGAGTAAAGAAGTGCAGGTATATGTATTCTTTATAAAATTTTAATTAATGTTTTAATGATAAATAACTAATGTTGTTATTCTAACCAATGTCATAGGCGATTGCTAAGAAGAATTCTTTTAATCGGGGATTTCATGGGCCTCCACATACGACCGGAAGGACATCTTTCTTAGATATTCGTTTCAATGTATTGATCTTGTGGCTGCACCTAAAGCATCATTTGAGACTGCATTTGGTGCTGCGGCTGTAGCCACACCTAGTGCACTTGGTGTGACACTTGTGGCTGCAGTTGTGGCTGTACCTAGTGCTACACTTTTGACTTATTATGTTGTGAAAACTTCAGCTCCTAACTTGAAAAAAATTGCAGATGACACATAGAGGAGAGCGGATAGATAAGATGAGTCTCTGGAAGAGGGCACACAACCTGAATGATCCTGATGTGGTGGCAATTGTGGTATGTCTATGGTTTAAATGTTTTTACACATATTTTGCTTTTTACCAAACATTGTCCTTATGTTTTCAAAATGTAGGAGGAATATAATGTGCATCTTTGGAAAGTTCCTAAGGAGCAACATACGATTGAGTATTGCGATGAGATTTATCATAAAATCGTTGGAAATGATGGACATGGGTATTGCAAGACGTATGGGAGAGGAGTGCCCTGGAGTGCGGTGTATGCGCGAGGCAGCGGTCCATCCCAATCATTAGCAGCCCCTTCATTTTTTGATGAGATCACACAGCGTGTGACACAAGACGTTGAGTCTAGGTTCACTACGACGATCAAGAACCTAACGGCACGCGTTTTGTTCTTAGAGTCACAGGGTGTGGGTGGGAGTATGAGCTTGAGAGAGATGCAATACTTACAAATTAACGAATTTTACGTTTTATCAATTTGTATATATACATATGGAAATTATTAACATATTATACTAACATATTGTAGGTGTCAGATGCATCTAGTGGGCAACAAGCTTCAAAAGAAAATGAATAGGTATGCCGCTCTACTATATTTATGCATGTATTTATGATATTTGCTGTGTATGGAGTTCTTGAAGGATATCACTATATTTCCCCATGTATTATGTCGTATTAGGTCTGAAATTTATCCCTAGAGCATTTCATATGGACCAGATCTGGTATTGCAAATGGGTTTTCTTCAGACTGTAATCTGATTCAATTGCAAATGGGTTTTCTTTAGGGACATCATCTTCTTCTCCTTGTCCTTGTACATTCCATTCTTTTCCTCTCTTATCAGGTCCAATCTCTAGGTAATCTCTCTCTCTCTCTCTCTCTCTTTCTCTCTCTGTTATATGTATGTGTGTGTGCTGTTTGTTCAATCTGGATCCCTTATATTGTTCAAGTATCAGTAAATTTGTATCTATTTTGAGAATGGGTTTTTTTTCTTGGGATAGAAATAGATATGGCAAGATCTGAACAAAGTGATATGTATAAAGGGTATGCATGATTATATACTGATTTATCTAGTAAATGAGTAAGACATGTGTCTTATCGGAATTTGAACCCTGTCCATCTGGCTTTGGAGGTGACAGGAGATACCACTCAAGCTAAGATATGATTCATCATTTACCTAGAAAGCAAGTAACATGCACATGCATAAAGGGTATATCATTTGCTGTGGAATGAGTCCAGACAATCATTGTCTTGATCCATACATTTTAATGAGTAGTTATAATTATCTGAGTACAGGTTTGTATATGTCACACAATGGAATTTTAATTTATATCACAATTTTTTTCTTTGTTATGCTGGAATCTTATTCAAAATACGAATGAGATAAGACTGGAGTTATAATCCTTTTTATATGGAACCTCGAAGTATTAATCTTCATGAACACTTTAATGTAATCCTTTCTAGCTGATCTTGGTGGATGGACTCGAATTGTTGTTGAGAAGCCATTTGGCAAGGATTTGGACTCGTTTGAGCAACTGAGTGCACATATTGGAGAGTTATTTGATGAACAACAGATTTATCATATTGATCATTATTTGGGAAAGGAATTGGTGCAAAACTTGGTAATATATGCATCTAAATTTGTCCAAGAGTTGTGTTTTTCCAAAATTATTCAAGGCTTGCTTATTTCTCTGTTTATCCCACTACTCTTTTTTTTTTTTTTTTTTTTTTTTTTTTTTTTTTTTTAAAAAAAAAAAAAAAAAAAAACAAACAAACAAACAAACAAACCAAACCCCTTCTTTTTTTTTTTTTTTTGTGCAGTTGGTACTTCGTTTTGCAAATCGCTTTTTCCTGCAACTGTGGAATCGTGACAACATTGACAATGTACAGGTAAGCATTCATTCTTCTTTTTCTTTCCATTTTATTTCAATAAAGTTGTCTGGAAATGTGAATTAAGTAAAAGCATTACTGGTAAGGTTAAGCAGACCTGTGGAGTAGCTGCAGAGAGATCTGCCATATTATTCCCCTTTTGTGATTGTCCTGCTTAAAGGGTAGTACCAACGTATATGCTACAAGCCTGAATGTTAATCTTTTTCTTTTCCCTTGTTGTTCCTATTGTTCCTGTTTTTTTATTTTCTTGTTCTTCTTGCAGATTGTGTTTAGGGAGGATTTTGGAACTGAGGGTCGGGGTGGATATTTTGATGAATATGGGTATGTCAAGTGGAACCTCACATCTTTTTCTGTAAGATTTGACTATTGATTAGGACCTAGAAATTGAGAATCCTGTGGAAGGTCATAATTCTTTTGTTGCAAGATTTGTTCATGGATTAAGACTTAGGTTCTAAAAGTCATGGTTTTACCATCTGTTAACATTTTTCTTCTTTGAGAATCCCGTGGAAGGTCATAATTTATTTGTTGCAAGATTTGTTCACGGATTAGGACTTAGTTTCTAAAAGTCATGGTTTTACCATCTGTTAACAGTTTTCTTCTTTGTTTTAATATAAAAATCTTAGACCTTCAAACTGTATTCTGCACTGTTTTGTTTTCGTTTTCCAATTTGCAATGTGTAAACAAGTAGATGTAATTTTACTTGGAAAAGCTTATGCAAAAAATTTTCCCCGTTCTTCATATGTTTGAGAATTGGTAACTAGCCTGGCATTATTAAATCTGTTTATCATTTCTTTTTGCAGAATCATTCGTGATATTATTCAAAATCATCTATTGCAGGTGAGGCCATGAAATCAAGTTAGAGTAGATAATATTAAAATGATAGATATATAAATTTATTCACAACGGTCCCTCCAATTTGTTTATCATTTTTCTTTAAGATGTAACAGACATATATTCTTGCCAACTGTAGATTCTTTGCCTAATTGCTATGGAGAAGCCTATTTCTCTTACACCTGAGCATATTCGAGATAAGAAAGTGAAGGTGCATCAATTAGTTTCTTATGTCTTCTACTGATAATATGTTGGGGGTCCCTTTCTATCAATTGGCTCAAGATTGAAAAACTCTTGGATGCCTTTTCTAGTCAATGTAAAGAATAAGTGAATATGAGAGACATATCAAGATTTAAGTATTTCTTTTTTACTATGGAATGGAGAACAAATGCATGTAAATGAAGGAGCTTTTCCCCTCATCATATTGCTTTCATTTCTTGCACTGGGGAGTACAAGGTTCATTGATAGAGTGGAGAAACACACGAGCAAGAAAATTGATGAGAAGATTGGCCAGTTCTGGATTGTATTTTTTTCATAAAAGAACTTTTTCCAAGTTTTTAGTTGTAATAACTTTTACATATGGCTCAAATTTTAAGACTCAAATAGAATGTTCAATAAAACTATAATGCTATACTGTCTGAATTCTTGTCATTGTTATTCTTAGAGTGCTTAACGCTACACTTTTATTTATTTATTTTTATTTTTAATTTTTTGCGACGGTAACAAGATGGTCGCCAAAGATCATGTTAGTGTTTTTCTTTGTTTTTTGCGACGGCAAAATAGCGGTTGCCATAAGTAGTTTAGGTGGTCGCAAATAATTTGCGACCGTTGCTTTACCGTCACAAAAAGTATTTGCCACCCCTATATTCGCGACCCCCATTTGCCGTCGCATGGGCCATCACAAAAAGCCTTTTGCGACTGTTTTTTATTATTTGCGACGGTTTATAGCGGTCGCAAAAAGTGTTTTTTTTAGTAGTGGTATCAGGCCTGAGGGCATCAGTATTTTGAGAATCAGTTATATCTACGAGTATCAGATTCAGTTTTGGGGCAACTATTTGGGCAACAACGATCAGTGTTTGAGAACAGTGTGCGTCAGCTCGCAAATATCAACTGTGTGTTGTGTTTATTTAAAGCCGTTATGCTGTCTGTTTTTCTGGTCGTTTATTTATTTATTATGCTTTATTTATCTTTTTGCAAGGTAGTTTAGCACAATTGTATCTGACCAGGCAGATATTCCCCGAGCACTTTGGGTTAGAGGTCAAAGATTCAATCGATCCAAGGATCTGATAGACGGATAAATAGTGTTTCTTTCTTTACCCCCGGTGGCTAGGCGGAGGTCAAGAAGGCGCAGTGTATTAGTACAAAGGTTGTCAGATCAGTGGTTTTTGAACAGTCAGGCTGAGGTCTCAGTTCCTACTATAGAGTTAGATATACCAATTGTCCAGTCCAATCCAGACAATATGGCAGGTTTGGAAGAGACGATGCGTCAGCTCCAGGAAAGTATGAAAACCATGCAGCAGGATGTTGCCCGTCAGGCAGAAGTATCTGCACGTCAAGCTGAGGTAGTAACCCAACAGGCAGATTTAATTGCCAGACTACAGTAGCAAACTGGAGCATCTGCTTCGCACACACCTCCTCCCTCATCCAGAGTTCCAATACTCAGGGAGACACCAAATGTCCAGGAAAATACGGACGTTCCGACAGGGCCAGCTCCGGCCCTAGTCCTACCCCAGCTATCTAAAACACCCACCAACCTAGTGGATTCGCCGTTTGAGTTTGAGGTAGATCCAACGGCGTTAAAAGTAAGCAAGCTAGAAAAGCTTTTCAAGAAGTCTCAAGGTGTGAAATCCATTCCAAATATAGAGGATGGGTATACCGACTCGGCCGTGACACTGCCAGATCGGTTTAAAATGCCACACATCGACCGCTTTGATGGGTCTGGGGATCCCATGGTGCACCTGCAGTTGTTTTCAGATATCCTTAGGCCAATGGGCCTTTCCAGATTGCAGAAGCTTTCTTTGTTCAGCTGGACCCTGTCGGGTGTAGCGGCCATTTGGTATGCAAAATTGGAAGACTCCGTTAAGAGGAGTTGGGAGGAGATGGCTGAGGCCTTCATAGCTCAATATTCCTATAATACACAAATCAAGGTCACAACTCGTGATCTCGAGACCACCAGGCAAGAACCGAAGGAGAGTTTCTCTGACTTCGTGACCGGCTGGAGGGCTAAAGCCTCGATGATGACCATCAGGCCTATGGACAAAGATCATATTCGGATGGTTGTGCGCAACCTCCAGCCCAAGCTCATGCAGAAGATGATCGTCCTCCCCCTACCCACCTTTGCAGATCTACATGAGATCGGGGTGCAAATAGAGGATGCCATGAAACAAGGCCTCATTGATAATGAGAGAGAGTAGCCCAAGAGGGCATTCAACTGCGGTACAAATGCAGGCACAAGTAGTGCTACAGCTGGCAGAACTTCAGATGTCGGAATGATCACCACCACTCTTCCCAAAACCCTCACAGCTACCCCATTCACTGGTGCGTCCGGTAGTAGCTCACAACCAGCTAGATATGCACCCAGAGGCCAAAGAACCTTCACCCCACTATACATGCCCCTGTCCAAAGCTTTGGGGGTTTTGATCAAGAAAGGGCACTTGAAACCCCTAGAGCCGCGGCCATTGCCAAATACACTTCCTCCTTTCCATAACCCGGCAAAGTATTGTGCCTATCACCAATAGCATGGTCACGACACCGACCAGTGCTTTAGACTGCATCATGATATCCAAGATCTCGTTGACAATAAGGCGATCGCACCCCCGGAAAAATCAAACGTCACAACCAACCCACTCCCACTACATAACCAAGCTCCACCTCCCAAATGCATTAACCTAATATAAACTAGGGTTATGTCATACGACCCCAACATATATATCACCCATTCTCACCTAACCAAGCCGGAGCTGTTCATTCCAGAAAGCATGGATTTGTGCATGTTGGACATCTCCCAAACCCAACTTGAGCCGATGGTGGTGACTATCGAAGATAGAACCGAGATGATTATTCAAGGCCTGAGGGGTCTGCGAGATATGTGTACGACCCGAGCGGTTACATTACAATAACAGGGCAGACTATGTCAAGGGTGGAACTACCGGCTGGGGCAGAGATCTAAGTCGTTCGAGAGGATGGACCTAATCAGGGGCTAGATGACCTAGCGAATTGGAAGAGGACATAGCTAACCTTCAATTCTTTAACAAACAGGATACAGGGGACGTGACTGTCAACTGGTTTGATTTAGATGGGTCAGCAGAAGCTACTGGGTGGCTCAGTGATGCGCCGGATGCTATTGAACAACTTCAGCCAGACTAGGGGCAATCAGGGGTTGGAAAATCATTAGCAATGGCTGGAATGGCCGGGAATCAGGAGCAACCACCGGAGAGCACCGGTGTTAAAAATTTTGCTCAGGATCAGAACAGTTTGAGTACAGAGGATGTTGAACAGTAGGCTGCACTAAAATAGTTTGAGCAAGATAAGATCGAAGATCTGGAGAGAGTTAGAAAGGCCAAAGCCCCTATGGGGACTAAATGTGCTGTGAGTACGGGAACAGAATGTGTTGTGGGCACAGGAACAGTTGTAATAGAACCAGATAGTTACTTGTCAATGGCTGATGGCATGTGGTAGGAAGATGATGACCTATGTCTTACCCACATAGACGAGGATTGAGGAAACAACCAACCGGATGATACCTGGTATATTGGAGAAATTGATCACATGACTAGAAGTGGATGGTATTTCAAGCCTCCATATCTAGATCAACTAGAGACGTCCGGAAGGGACACGGAGGCGGAGAAGCAGAAAGAAAAGTTACTCGAAGAGGAGGCTGTGCTGAAATAGCTTAAGAAGATACAAGCAGACATCTCTATCTGGGGACTACATATGGCTTCAAGAGTACACAGACAAGCTGTCCTTTCTGCAATGGACAGAGCCAAACTTTCAATTGACACCACGCTTGAACAGCTGGTAGGGTTAGTTTTTTCGGAAGGAACTTCCCCGACGTTAACCTTTACTGATAAGGAACTACCGCCCGAGGGCGCAAACAATAACAAATCACTCTACATCTCTGTGGAATGTAGAGACAAGTGGACACCGGTGGTTCTTGTCGACACAGGATCCGCCATTAATGTGTGCCCGTCGAGGACAGCATATGCAATCGGGTTGAAGCCTGGGGACTTCGTACCTACTGCCCAGGTGATTTAGGCATATGACAATACTAGCAGAGAAGTGATGTGGACTGTGCAGATTCGGACTAAGGTTGGTCCAGGACAGCATGATATTGACTTTCATGTCTTGGACGTTCCTGCAACATTCAATCTACTCTTAGGGCGTCCGTGGCTGCACTAGGTAAAGGCAATCTCTTCCACCCTCCACCAGGTGTTGAAATACCCCCACGGGAAGGGGGTGGCCATAGTTTTTGGGAATTCATCAATCCATCCGCCGCCAGAGGTGTCTACGCCGGTTCTAGAGATCCAACATGACGCAGAGGATGTGTTCTTGTCAGGATTTAGCCTAGCTGAGGCTCGGGTTGTATAGAACCTACTAGTTATCGATGAGGGGATTTATGTCAGTGCACAATCGGTGTACCTCATGAACAAACTCCAGCACATCCCTGGGATGGGATTAGGGAAAAGTGGCCGGAAAGGCGTTGTAGCATCGGCCGAAGTGCCACATAACCCATAGACCTTTGGTCTAGGTTATCTGCCTACCAAGGAGGACTGGGTAAGGAAAGGCAAAGAAACGGCCGGAAGGTCCAGAGCTAAGCAGGCGGGGAAGCATTTTGAGTTGATGCACTGACCTATTCAGGGTACCCTGAACTGACGCTTTGTCTAAGAGGGGGAGGACTTCCCAGTCTGCGGCTTCCCAGAACCATGGTTGAATGCAGAGAGGAGACGCTTGCCAGGGTTTGAGATATTCTTTGACTTGCACTTGTCTGGGGATGATGTTGCTGAGGAGCAGACAGACCCACCAGCTGAGGTTGAGCGATGTAAAGAGGAGGTTTCCGAGGGCGCAGAGATTGAAATGGGGTAGCACTGGCTTGTTCACTTTCAGATCCTCCGATCGTACATGAGTGCTTGGGGGATAACTTCTCGGTGTCCATGATCGGGAATGAAATGACTGCGAACCCACCTTCAAATATTTTGGATGCATCCATTGCACCCTCCCTCGTCTAGTAATACCAGGAAGGCTTTT